GGGAAGATCCCAGCTTGAGGTTGGCTTCTCATGCATTTACACTGACGTAAGGCCTGCCCTACAAAGGGCTTCCTGTGCTCATGCCACTCAGCAAGAGAACTGGTGGGAAAGGTGGCTGCTTGGAGCAGCTACAAAGCCCTCAGGTGTTAAACGTGATCAAGATTGTGGAACCACTGGCTGTGTGAGAAAAACGGGTAGTCTTCAAGAGAGAAGCATAGGTAAACCAACTGATGCTAGAAGAATGGATATAATTCAGGAAAACAGAGGACAAACTAAAGTAAAACCTTACTTAGCCTCAGAGTTTTGAGAATGTAGTGTGTTCATGAAGAAGAACAAAGTGCTTCTTACAGATGTAAGAATACTCTTAGATTTTAAAAAATGATTATCAAAAGTAGAAATTAAATAGGACTAGACATAAAGCCTTTTTAAAATCCCCAGAGCATAGAATAATAGAGGAATGAGCATAGAATAATAGAGGAATAAGCAAAGACCAAGACAGAGACTTTTTTTTTAATAAGGGAAAAGAAAAATTGAGGCCTAATGAATGAGGCCTAGCACTTCACTGGTTTCTGTGTCTACACCCCCGCCCAGGAGATCAGTGGGGGAACAAACAACACAAGGTATAAAAGAAAAGACTTTTCTGGAGTTGAAATGTACATGTCTTTGAATTTAAAAGACCCACTGAAAGAGTATTCAGCACAATAAAAAAAGACTCAAATCAAAGTATATTTTATACCAACATTTTCAGAAAGACATTATCAAGTCTTTATGAGAGAAAAATTTTAAAAATGAGAAAAAAAAACTTGTCACCTATAAAGGAAAAGAATAAAATCCACTTCAAACCTAATACCAGCAATGCCAAATACTAGAAGAGGCAGTGCCTTCCAGTTTCTGAGAATATTCCTTCAGCCTCAGTTCACAGGCAGCAGAAGAAAGGTTGTTTTCAGAGATGCAAAAACTTAAAAGCTTTCTTAGTCTGAACACTTTCTCCTAAACGCTTTCTTAGCAAGCCATGTAAAGATCTTTTCTAGCCAGGTGCAGGTAGCTCACACTTATAATCCTAGCTACTCAGGAGACAAAGATCAGGAGGATCACAGTTTGAAGTCAGCATGAGCAAATAATTCACGAGACCCCATCTCAAAAATACCCAACACAAAAAAGTGGTGAAGTTCCTTTCCAGCAAGCATGAGGCCCTGAATTCAAAACCCCAATACCACCGAAAAAAAATGTAAATAAATAAAAACTAAAGATCTTTTCCAGAAAAATAAAGCAAACCCGGAAGAAGATGGCAAAAGGTTTAAGACAAGTAAATCTAAGGATCAATGAAGGGCGGTGCTGGGTGGCAGCTGTGCTGTGGACACAGTGGGCAGAGCCCAGCCCTGGAGCAGAGGCAAAGAGTGCAAGAGGACTCACCTTCAAAAGAAAGAACTGCCTGCAGGAAGGAAACACAATTAGAAACACTAGGTAAAGCACATTATGACAGGAAAAAGAAAAACGAAAGGCAACAAGAAACTCAAGGAAAACACAAGGAGTTGTATAAGACAGTCATGGATCACATATGAAATAAGTTGTAATTTTTAGCATCAAAATTTCAACGAGTTGTAAGAAAATATACTCTACTTGATCTCGATGCTGGGAATGTGCTCCTTGTACATATGGGCCCTCTAGAATCGTAGTGCTAAACTAGTCAGGGAGATGTAACTTCAGCAGGTAATCCACCCAACTCTGGACAATATTATATCATCATAAAATGTAAATAGCTATAATGGGAGTTAAATTTTAAAGCCTGGTTATGAAAAGAATCACAGAAGAACCAGTTGTGGATGAAGGATAGAATGTAAATACTAATGATCTTAACTAGGTAAAAGTAAAAGCATAGTGATGGCAGAAAGGGAGAGAGACGAGATGCCAACTGTGTATCTTATAGTGTAGAAATTAAGGGATACTTCCATATTTGATGAACTACTACCCAGACATCTTAGCATATTTTATAGTACTCAAATTATGTAAAAATAATAAATCATCAATCATTTGGAAAAGACTAGTGAGTTAATACAGAGTGAGCTAAAGCCTCATTTTTTCTATGGTGAGGTCAATAGGGAGTGTCTAAAGTGAGAAAATTTTTAAAATGAGATGTCAGCTAATCATCAGTGGTATGGGCATACCACCAGCAACACTCAAATCAGGAAATTCTAGAGCTTGCCAAGCAACTGAAAGGCCCAGTCGGTGTTCAATCCCAGTACCACAAAAAAATAAATTGTAAAAAAAAGGTTTGAGAAGTGGGAGAAGGGACAGGAGTGTAATGCAGGTTGTGTGACCCCCAAGTACATTGTATACTTGTACATCACTATGGAAGCACTTTGTGCAATTAATATATGCTAATATAAATTTAAAAATAAAAAAGAATAGGGAAAAAAAGAAAATGCTAGGAGAGGCTGTGTCTGAGGGGTGATGGTAAAGGTGAGGAAGAGATTATTTTAAAATGAAATCCTAAAAATTCCATTAAATACAAAGATGGTAAATATTATAAATGTACATATGAAAAGGGAATAGTGATTGCTTGAAAACCTGTCAGGATTTGAGGTAGATTTCTTACACATGCACACACACACACACACACACACACACACACACACACTTCTCTGCCTCCCACTATCTGCTCATTCTTGGTTTCTGCTTCCTCACAACTTCGGTTTCCTCCTTTGTCATGGAGCAGTCAGCATGCAGGCAGGGGACAGGTCAGACAATGATGCACAGAGTTAGTGAAGAGTTTTTTGTCAAAACAAGGCTGATTAGGGGAAGTCAAGGAGGCCTGGTGGGGGTAAATAGGAAACCAGAGGAGGGGGCCGGGCTGTAGGAGAGGGCTGCCCTCTAGCAGCTGAGGCATTGGGGAAAGAACGAGTCATGACCAACCACAACCAGGCACCCAGGGCATGACTCACCTCTTACCTCTCCAGCAGGGGCTCAGGCCCAGCTTCCCAGGCAAAGGCTCAGTGAGGAGGGGGCAGGAAATTTGTAGAGATAAGAGAGAATACCCAGCATACCTCATGGCCTTGACTATACCATAATGCCTCTTCCTACACATCTTTGTTATCTCCCCCTTGGTAGCTGCTGTAGTTGACTGATTCTTCTTAATTCAAACTTCCAGCTAAGTGTTATGCCCTGTGTCATTGGTCAGGCTCTGGATTAGCCTTCTGGGGTCGACTGACTGCCTGGTGTCATCAGCTAGAATAGACAAGGTGGGGGAGAAGGGGCATGGAAATGGACTTCAAAACATCCTTGATTCATCTGCTGGCAGGTGCAGTACACATGCAAATGTGTGCACATGTTTCTAACACATACATTAAGCAGTAGCCATTGTAACAGGGCGATTGGTTTGCCACAGGGCTCAAATGATAATAGCGTCATTTTCTGAGACCCTTCTATCATCCAGGTGTGGTGACATCACTCTGTGTCTTGAATAGCTACTCTACATGTAGGCCTGATTAATGTCAGAGTGTTCCAGATGGGGAGTCCTGTGGCAGTGATTAATCAGTGAGTCAGAGGATGTCCAGGGATAGATAAATGGGACAGGCTACATTCACCCAGCCCAGGCAATCTAACTGCAGACCCAAGCTGCTAAACACCATTCTTGACACATTTCTAAGAAAGAAAATGAAAATTAGCATTATCTTCTTAAAGGCTTTATCTTTGGGGAGAATTCCCTTCTCCTTATCAAGATTTCCAAGAATAATATTATAGTAGCATTACAGTTTTCCAAAATGTTACTGGGTGAAAGGCATATGGGAGTTACTTCTTTCTTATAACTCTTTGTGAATTTACACTTATCTCAACATAAAGTTAAACAAATATGCTTAATAGTTTTAAAAAATAAAACAAATAAAATGTATGCTTAAAATTTGCTAAGAGGGTAGATCTTAGGTGTTCTTACCTTACACACAAAAAGGATAATAATAGAGAGGGTAGAAGGCAAACTTTGGGAGGTAACAGAGATGTTTATGGCCTCGATGGTGGCGATTATTTCATGGTATACACTTACCCTAGTGCTCGCTGAGATATGAACACAAACAACCTTTTGCATGTCAGCTATACCTCAATAAAGCAGTTTTTGTAAAATGTTAAAGAACTATTATAGCAGCAGCATCAACTATCACTTACTCATCTCAACAAGAATCTACTGGGTATCTCCTGCCTCCCAGGCACTGTCACAGACACTGGAGAGACACAACAGAGGACAAACGGAGAAAAAGCCTGGCCCTCTTGCAGCTGCCTTCTAATGGAAGTTGGCTTGTTCAGCCAGGTAGCTTAAACTCAAGCTATCACATAAATGTGTATTACCGAAATGTTAATTACAAAGTACCTACTTCCTCAGTGCCCCAAAGGAGTGTGATTAGGTTCTTCTGGACTGCTGAGACTCAGTATTTGTTATAAATGAATAAATAAATGAGTCATTCTCTCTCTCCACTCTAGCGTCCCTCAGTGTCTACCAGGGAATGCTTCCTGAACTGCCTGGGAGACCAAAATTCCTGAAGAAGCCCCTCATATTAAATGACATGGTATTTGCATATCCTCTAGGCACATGATCCTGCATACTTTAACTCATCTCTAGATTGTTTATAATACATACTATAATGTAAATGCTATGTAAATAATTGCTATATTGTTCGGAGAATGATAAGAAAAAATAGTCTATACATGTTCAGTTCAGTTGCCACTGTTTTTTCTGAATATTTCCTGTCCTGGTTGAATCCAGATGTGAAACCCACCAAGTGTGACCTTTGTATCTGCCAAACTTAAACATGTGTTCTATTCACCATGCTTGCAAAGACTAACTCCATTCTCTTGTACTCTTGCTTGCTCTAGGCTGCAGACAGCGTCCCAGTGGATGATGTGCACACCACTGACTGCCAGAGAGAAGATCAGGATGTGACTGATGAGTCACAAATCCCAGCTAGCTCCCAAAGAAGGACTCCTCCCTCCTACTCCAGGGCCCTAGAGATTCTCAGACATCCAAGAAGAGATGCAGCAGGCAGACAGAACAGGAAAGCCACCAGAGTGCTGAGGGGTGCCCTTGCAGCCATTTCTGTCCCTGCTCCAACATTCTCTCGTGATGGCCTGTAACAGCACATCTGTTGAGACTTACGAGTATGTGCTGATGAACATGAGCAACGCCTCGGACTCCCAGGCCACCCCACTGTCCGCTCCACTCAGGATATCGTTGGCAATAATGATGATGCTGATGATCGTCGTTGGGTTCCTCGGTAACACGGTTGTCTGCATCATCGTGTATCAGAGGCCGGCCATGCGCTCTGCCATCAATCTGCTGCTGGCCACGCTGGCCTTTTCCGACATCATGCTGTCGTTATGCTGCATGCCCTTCACCGCCATCACGCTCATCACCGTCCGTTGGCACTTTGGGGACCACTTTTGTCGGCTCTCGGCCACGCTGTACTGGTTTTTTGTTCTGGAGGGAGTGGCCATCCTGCTCATCATTAGCGTGGACCGATTTCTCATCATCGTCCAGCGCCAGGACAAGCTGAACCCCCGCAGGGCCAAGGTGATCATCGTGGTCTCCTGGGTGCTGTCTTTCTGCATCTCGGTCCCCTCGCTCACCGGCTGGACGTTCGTGGAGGTGCCCGCACGCGCCCCGCAGTGCGTTCTGGGCTACACCGAGTTCCCGGCCGATCGCGCCTACGTGGTGACGCTGGTGGTGGCCGTGTTCTTCGTGCCCTTCGGCGTCATGCTGTGCTCCTACATGTGCATCCTCAACACGGTGCGGAAGAATGCGGTCCGTGTACACAACCAGTCCGACAGCCTGGACCTGAGACAGCTGACCAGGGCTGGCCTCAGGCGGCTCCAGCGGCAGCAGCAGGTCAGCCTGGACTTGAGCTTCAAAACCAAGGCCTTCACTACCATCCTGATCCTCTTTGTGGGCTTCTCGTTCTGCTGGCTGCCGCACTCCGTCTATAGCCTTCTATCCGTGTTCAGCCGGCGGTTTTACTACAGCTCCTCCTTCTACACCACTAGCACGTGCGTCCTGTGGCTCAGTTACCTCAAGTCAGTCTTCAACCCCATTGTCTACTGCTGGAGGATCAAGAAATTCCGCGAGGCGTGCATAGAGTTGCTGCCCCAGACATTTCAAATCCTTCCCAAAGTGCCTGAGCGGATCCAAAGGAGAATCCAGCCAAGCACAGTCTATGTGTGCAACGAAAACCAGTCTGCTGTTTAGGGGAAACAGGGAAGGGCCAGTCAAGGACCAGAGGGTCCCAACTCACGGAGAGCTCTGCTTCTCTGCACTTTAGCCATTGTCTGCGTTTTTGTTTGTTTGTTGTGACTAAGCACAAAGGTACTCATTTGTTAGCAGATGAGCTGCAGCTCCCAAATTTCAGATTTCCACAAGATGTATTATTTTTTAATTTCATCTGAGGTGTATGTGGGTCTGGTGGGGACTGCAAGGGAGTTAGGCAAGGTTGGCATGGAGTGGAGAGTGCAGAGGTTGGACAGAGGGTGAGGGAAGAGAAGGGGAAGCTGGAGTGAAGCTGGCTGAAGGTGGAGAAGAAGGGATGTGTCAAAAGAGCCTAGTTCTGCCCTCTGAGCAACACCCCCTATCTGCTCAAGAGCAGTGTTAGATTCTGAGCCAAGTAGGTGTCGTCTCACAGTCATTGGTCACTGTACTTAACACCAGCATCCTTCAGTTATTATTTGTGGGGTCCGGAGAACCCCACAAATACTTGAGGGTCAGGTATGCATTTCTAACCCTGCTTAAAAAAAAAATGAAGATCCTTTCAAAAAAAAAATGAAGATCACACTGGGACAGAGTGAGCCCTGCACCATTGAGGTCCCTGGTGGGATAGATGAAGAGGGCCTCAGTGGCTCAAAGCTCACAGGATATTGTGGGACAGCTCAACTGAAATGAGAAGCTCCCCTGGGCACTCATGCATGTCCCCACCCCCTTACCAGGCCAGCCTAGTCATCCACCCCTTCCCTCTCCCTCCACTGGCATTCCAGCCTCTCATTGAGTTCATCCTTTCCAGTGTGAAAAAAACCCCAAAAAACTCCTGTTGTAACCCATCCATTGAATAAGTATTTGATAGTGACTTGCTCTCAGAATCAGAAGCCAGCAATCACTGGGCTTTGTTTACACATTTTTTCTGGACACTCCAGGACTCCAGAGCCTTTGTGAGGCACCAAACCCACTGCACTATGAAACCTGCTGCAGGGACAGAACCCCCTCCCCCAGCTGGCGTCCCCATTCATTCCTGTCCCTCTTCCCTCCATCATACCCACTGCCACTGACGGACTCTCCTGCTCTGGACTGGATCTTGGGAGTGAAGCTGCCTAGAGGGGACCTTTTCTGCTTGCCCCCTATTCTCTGCCACTGCACCCACAGTCAAGTATCACCAAGGGCTTCCGAAGTTGAGAGGTGACATCCCTAAATTCAGGGTAGCACAATGGGTCCATTGTGCTCTCTTTGCAGATCTGAGGAGAGTCTGAAATTTAAGGACAAATTCAGGAAATCTGATTCCAGGTCTGACTCTATCAAGGACTAGCCAGTGAGATTATTTATGTCACCTCCTTCTGTAACCGCCAGATCCCCTGCATTCATTTATTCATTCATGCACTGAGCATTATTAAGTGCTTGTTAGATGTAGGCACTTTGCCAGAGATAGTGATGAATGAGGCCCAGGCTGTGCCCAAAAGGAGTTGTCTGATTTATCTCAGGACAGTGGGAACTCAGTCTAAGAGCACAAAAGCTCCATTTTTGCTTTATTTCTTACTTTTTCCAAGTTATATTCAGGAGCCAGGTCTCCAGTCTCACTCTCTTTTCCTGTGGTAGAAGTCATGGAAGCAGGGAAGGAAAGGAGATGATGAAAACATAATTTACATTGATCTCAGACCAGAGGAGGGTCTGTCAAAAAAAAACCAAACAAACTGACACTTGTTCTCACCAATCAAGATGGAGAGAGAGGAAAGAGAAGGTGAGCAATGGGTGTATGGGAGATTAAGGTTGGTTCCATCAATTCTGTGTACCCAGTAACCCCCAGCAAGGCCAGGGTTTTCCTTCAGCTCCCATGGGACAGGGTTGCAGGGCTCAGTGTTGCCCAAGAGCACCACCAGGCCTCTGAGGGGACTGAGCCTATGGGCACCTCCCCTTTCATGGACATTTCAGATACTTTTCTTCAGGAACCTTGAGCAAAAGAGAAATAAAAAAACTGAATTAATGAAGGTACCAAAATTTACATCAATCCATGTTATATATGTTGGACAGTAATATATGTTTCAAAGTAACAATTTTGTATATATTTTAAATAAAGTATTATTGCCTTTTCGGTGTGTAAGACCATGTTCTTGCTAAAATTCACACCAAGATCATGAATAGTAAGTCCCAAATCCCAGGTTACCTCACTCTCTGTGCAAGTCTGGCCAAGTCATATAGAGTTTCTGAGCCTCACCTTCTTCATCTTTGAAACAGTCAGACTCCTCTGAGCCAGAAGGCCACAGTGAAGAATAAGCAGAGAGCTGGGGCATAGCTCAGTGGCATTTGTCTGGGTTCAATCCCTAACCCTGCAAAAATATACACATAAATAAATAAATAGAAATAATATAAAGGACTGAATCCAAGGAAGGCCTTGTCCAAGGCAGATGCTGAAGTTCAGAGGTGATAACTGTTACAGGTCTACTGGCTTCCTCACCAAGGTTTGGTCTTTTCATGGATAAGGGTGGAAAATTTTGTTTCAGAAGTAGGCTGTTAAGTTCTTCTGAAAAAAAACAAGGAATTCTCCAATTAGTGTGGCCCCTAATTCAATTCATTCTGACAGTAACTACAAGAGGTGGCATCAGAGCCCACAGGTTGAGGGTTTAGTCCCCAAGAGTGCCCCCCTCTCTTCAGATACCAGTGGCAAATACTAGGTTGTCACCTATACTTCTGTAAATGGGAAATTCCCAAGACACCCTCCTAGAGCTTGATTAATTTGCTTCCAGAGCCTAAGACAACACTTTCTGCTGGCATTTATTTTTTCATCACAAAGGTTCTACAGATGGACAACCAGACTGAAGAGATGCCAAGGGGAGGCATGTGGGTATGGACACTGAGTCTCCCTGCCCTCTCCAGGAGTACCACCCCCAGGAGGGCCTCACTAGGTTCAGCCTTCTGGAAGCCAATCTGAACCCTATCTTGCTGGGTTTGTTATGAAGGCTCACTACATAGGCAAGAATGATCACATCACAGGCCACTGGAGATCAACTCTCCCCTCACTAGAGGAGAACTGGGGGTAGATCTGAAAGTCCCAACTCTGTAGTGTTGGTCTTCCTGGTGACCAGCCCCATCTTGAAGCTACCTGGAGTCGCTCCTCCCCACCAGTCATCTCATTATCATACCAAAAACAAAACTCTAGGGAGAGGGAGGGGGCGGGGGGCAAGGGGGAGAAATGGTGCAAACATTGCATGCACATGTGAATAAATGAATAAAAAATTTTAAAAAGACCTCTATTGCTCTGGAGAGTCCCAGAGTTTTAGGAGCTATGTGTCAGAAACCAAAGTAGAGACAAAATATGTATTCACTATGTCACACTATCACCATCCTCTTCCCCATCCACATGCGGCCTGAGGTTTCAGGGTTCAATTGGCAAGAACACAATACCCACTGAGGCCAGGCGCATGGATTGCACTTTAAAGAACAAAATGACCTCAACTGCACCCCTTCACTTCATCCAAAACTCTGCTGGCCTGTGAGATGGCTCGCGAGGCTGATGGGAGGAACTGGATGGATGCGCAAGTCAGTACCACCTCATTCCCATGCCTGGTCAAAGCACCACACAAGTGCACACCCGATCTTCTGAGAGCCGTTCTGAGGTCCGCAGCATATATGGAAAGTCAGGGAGGCAGGAAGGTGATATGCTATAGCAAAGACAGCCAACACTAAAGTGACTTTGAACAGACAAACATGAAAAAGTCCAGGGCTGCTAGGTGGGCTCTCCGCTATGTGGTTACTACTTCTGTCTTCCAGCATTTGTGGGGATGGGGAAACAGGTATGGAAGAGTATGTGATTAACAACCCTACATGTGACTGGTCCTCTGTGGTCACGTGACCATACCCAGCTGCAAAGGAGGCTGGGAAATGGAGTCCCCAGTCAGTGGCTATGTGCCCAGCCACAGCCTGCTAATCCTGGAAGAGGAGGAAGATTTAATAGGCTCCCAGCACAAATTTTAAAAAACAAGTGGTCCTAGAACACATAGGAAATCTGAAGTCCTAAGCAAAAATTTTGTAAACGAACCCTATTTTTCATGGTAAAATAAATATGCCCATTGAAGATGGTGGTCTTTTTACCCCTACCCGCAACAGATGGCGTCTAGGTGCACAGGCAAAAACTGCATGCCTTTCTGCCTGTGGTAAAGAGGAAAAAAATCACCACATTAAACCTTTCAGATGCAAATGAGGGGAGACATAAAAACTATGCTATTTGAAAATTCGCAGCCACAAAAGGCTGGACTCTGCCAACATAAGAAGAAAAAAATACTATTTAAAACAAAACTGATTGAGATCAACACTGAGAATTCGATTACATTAAAGGAAAGAGTAATTTCAAAGCATTGGCTATTGAATGGTGGAGACCGGTTGCCTATGGCAGTGTAGACTGGGGACAGGCCAGACTGTGGTAATTTAAACATTTAAGGAAAGGGAAGGCTTGGGGACCCTTGCTGGGAGATTAGCATCTGGATTCTATATGAATGAAAGGATGTTGGAATGCAAAATGCAGCAGGTGTGTCTGTCATTCTGGGCAGGTGTCCAAGGTTACTTTAGCAGAGAGTTTCAGATTAACTCCTGCTCTCTATCCTTCATCCTGGAGGAGTCAAGAACAAAGTGTCCTGGGAATCGGAGAGGTGCCAGAGATTGCTGTGGCTCAAGAGGGAGCCAGTAGGGGGATGCACAGATTTGCAGATCCTCATTAGTCTGATAGGAACAGAAAGAGCTTATCTGTGTGAGAAGAGCTGAGATGCTAACAGGACTTGACCTTTTGCAATCACGCTTTGGAGGGCCCTGCTATGCAAGTTCAGCCTCCTGAGGTGTTCAGGTAAATGCCTGCAGATCCCCACGGCCCAGTTAATAAGGACTGGATCTTCATGTTTCATCTCATGCACTTCGCTGCTGCCTCTGGCATCCACAGTCCCTTTGCCAATGACAACAGCCTAGGAAACAATGACCAAGCTCATTTAGCATTTTTTTAAAAAGCTTGCTGTGTCTTCTGCGCAGTCCTCGGG